TACCTTCACCATCTCGCATGTCTTCAATTTTTTTCATCTAATGCAATTTTTTTGGTATGCTGCAAAAAGGTGATTTTTTTGGATATATTGCAATTCTCTTTTGGTATGTTGCAAATAGAATTGCAAACTTTTATGATTTCGTTCTTTGTTTTGAATAATGCTCGGATCACATGATCTCTAAATAGCAAAAATTTTAATTTTTAAATACGCATCTTAACCCGTTGGGTCAACCCGAACCCGATAACTCTGGGTCATGAACAAGCACTCTTAGACTTGAACCCAAAGTAATCCGAAGTCGAAATAACCCGAACCCGAACCCGACCTGACCGACCATTTTGCCAGGTCTAGTTCTAGCTCATAACTGAAAGCGTGTACATAACTAATCCAAATCGACAACTTTGGGAATAGAATACTTGTAACATACAATTAGTACAAAGTAAAACCTTATAGTCTTTCTGTCCCATAATAAAATTCTCATTTAGTACTCATCTGATCAAACTTTATCAACTTTTTTTATATATTTTAATTACTCATTTGATAAAATAATATAGACAAAATTTTTAAAAAATTAATTTTTTTTATTTAATTGTTTTGGGAGGGAGAGTAATATAATTTTTGTGGTAGGGATTCCTAATTCCGCTGAAGACAGAAGACCTTTATTTCAACAAGAAAGATAGGCTCTGAACCTTTGGTGCCATGGTCGCTAGCTACACTTTTGACAAGAACTAGAGGAGAATTGGATAACAATGAACTAATGAAAAGAGACTAAGATTAATAAGGAATAGTGTGTGCGGCAGTGTCGGAGTGGAGAAGTTCTGAGACCACGTCGGGATCTGAAACGCACGCATGGACGGAGAAGGGCGGCAGGGGTTCAGCGAGAAAAAGCTCATGCCCACCCATGCTTTCATTGGACGGAGAAGATCTGTGGTGTTGAACCAGAATGCTCAATCTTTCAACCTGTGCTTCAATTCAATACAGAAGACATGCGAGATGGTGAAGGTAATCTGTGAACTGAGTTGTCAAATTTAATCAGTAACCTAAGCTTTCACATATACTCGCTTCTTATCCAAATTTGACCACTCAGTTCACAGATTACCTTCACCATCTCGCATGTCTTCTGTATTGAATTGAAGCACAGGTTGAAAGATTGAGCACTCTAGTTCAACACCGCAGATCTTCTCCGTCCAATGAAAGCATGGGTGGGCATGAGCTTTTTCTCGCTGAACCCCTGCCGCCCTTCTCCGTCCATGTGTGCGTTTCAGATCCCGACGTGGTCTCAGAACTTCTCCACTCCGACACTGCCGCACACACTATTCCTAATTAATCTTAGTCTCTTTTCATTAGTTCATTGTTATCCAATTCTCCTCTGGTTTTTGTCAAAAGTGTAGCTAGCGACCATGGCACCAAAGGTTCAAAGCCTATCTTTCTTGTTGAAATAAAGGTCTTTTGTCTTTAGCGGAATTAGGAATCCCTACCACAAAAATTATATTACTCTCCCTCCCAAAATAATTAAATAAAAAAAATTAATTTTTTAAAAATTAATCACTTCCTAACGGCATTTAAGGTTAAAAACTCATATTTTAACATTCCAAACTCCTATATAAACCCCCTCTAAGTCTCATTTTAAATACAACAACTTCCCAATTAAATCTTAAGCCTCTTTCTCTATTCTTGAGTGTTCTAAAAGCTTTGTTCTTATTTTTCTTACTCTTTTGAGTATAAAGCTTTCATTATTTTTATACACTCACACACAAGGGCATTTGTGATTCATTATTTTATATCGTGCCTTTAGGCTTTTGTTGTTGTTGATTTAATCTTTTGTTCTTCTCCTACCCAATTCATATTTATTATTATTTTGGTAGAGAAGCAACATCAATCTTTTATTGATTTGTAAAAGGTGTGGATAGCCTTTAAATCCTCATTGTAAGGTTGAAGATAGCCTTAAAATCTTCGGTTGTAAACGGTTGAGATAGCCGTAGTAAAATCTCATTTGCTTATTGGCAAGGGTTGTTTGCCAAACCTCGTTTAAGTCTTCTTAGTGAAGCCAAACAAGTTAGTGGAGGTTAAATCCTTGAGGTGGAGCCTCGAGGTACTGGAGTAGGGAGTTCGCGAACCAGTATAAAATCGCTTGTGTCGTATTTTTATCTTTTATACTTTTCTTGCTCCTTTTCCGCTACTACTTTGCGCATAAGTTTCTGTTTTTACGAAAAACTTGCAAACACCCTAATTCACCCCCCCTCTTAGGGTGTAAACCGACTTTCGGTGAGAGTGTAGCACTTCAAGTTTTGAAGGAGACGTTGTACCCAAATTTCTTAACCTTCAGCATTGTTGTGTGTAATCTATGCACACTCAAAGATTTGGTTAATCACCAATCTGTACTTAGGAGCATGTTGAGGAAAGGATATTATCTTAACCTAGAGACATTTTCATCCGTATTGAGCTGTTATTGCAAGTCAGGTCAATTATCAAAGGCTACACAATTATTAAGCCTTATGATTGTCTTGGGAGTTCCTTCCTCTGTCACTGTTTGGAGCATTTTGATTGATGGATATTCTAAATCCGGCAATCTTGATTTTGCCGGTCAATTGATTGCTAAGATGGTCTCTAGTGGACATAAGCGTACTGTGGTAACATGCACAGCTTTAGTAAAGGGATATTTGGAATCTCATAGGCCTAGCCATGCATTCAAGATCCTAGACACCATGAAACATAAAGGATGCTACCCTGATCTGGTCATGTGCAACATGCTAATAGATTGTCTCTCAAAAATGGGGAGCTATGATGATGCAATTATCATTTTCTGTAGTTTAGGTGAACGTGGACTGACCCCTGATTCTTATACACTTGCCTCAATCATGTCAACTTTGTGTTTATGCAAGGAGTTCACCCTCTTGCCTGTACTAATCAGTGGATTAGAGATAATACTCGATTTAGTTGTGTGTAACTCATTTATGAGTTTCTATTGCAAAGCTGGTTATCCTCGTGGCGCTGTTGAGTTTTGTAATGACATGATGCATAGACGTTTCCTACCCGATAACTATACATCTGCTGGATTATTGAGTGGGTTATGCAGGGTAGGCAAGATTACTCAGGCAGTTGATGTGTATCAGGGAATCATCAAGAGTTAACTCAGAATTGATGCTCATATTCACACTGTGGTCGTTAATGAAATTATTAGAGCTGGTGAATTTCGTCAAGCTATTAGATTATTTCGGAATGCCTTGGCCGAGAAGTCCCAACTGGATGTTGTTTCATATACTATTGCCATTGACGGACTAGTCAAAGCCAGTCATGTTAGAGATGCGTATGTTTTATTTAATGAGATGAAGGACATCGGTTTGGCTCCAAATATATACACTTACAGTTTGATGTTGTTTGGATTGTGCAAGGATGGAGATCTTGGAATAGTAAAAAAGCTGCTTGCCGAGATGATTGATGGAGGCATTAAGTTCAACCATATTAATTTTAGGTTGATGAAGAACATTTTGAGAAAAAGGTGCCATTCAAGCTTAGTCCCCAAGTTACTATGGGAGTTGTGGGATTCTGGGTGTGTTCCTAAGAATACACCGGCACCCGTATTTGATAAAGATGTTTATGATTGGAATGCTAAGGATTTGCATTTTGATTACCCCTCGCTTGTTCGTGACGACACATCTAGCTCTGAAGACATTCTTGATGTACCTGCTTCGGTTGGTTGATCGTGGATGATTCTCTGTCGCAAAGCTTCAACTGATTCCCGCCCTGAAGTTTTGTTTTGAACTCTCTATGAGAATGAAAAGCACCTCGGTCAGAGAACATTCTCCCTTTTTCCAAAAACAAAAATCATGTCGCATTGCGGTACACTTATGTAATTGTGGTAAGGTAGCTCTTGTTTCTAATCCATTCTACTTATGTATTTTGACAATCCAGACCCGTACTTTTTTTTGTTGCAGCCCCATTTTAGCCCATTTGTTTATAGAAGTTGTTGCTGATTTAGTCTCTAAGTTTTTCACAACCATTTTAGGCCATGTTCTCTTCACCTGATCTGATTGGTTCTGATCTGACTAGAATAAATTCTGATCTGATCTGGTTTGATCTGATCTGAATGTAGTTATATTTAAAGCTATTTCTGATTTGATCTAATTCCAATAAGAATACGTAATAAGTAAAAAGAATAAGTTGAGGAGAAAATAGTCTAAGTCTCCTTAGCTTTGAAACCGAAGTTGCTTTGTCCCTTAGTAAAAGGCTCAAGCATGACGTTAGTTTTAAAATTGTCACTAGAATTCATAAAATTAAGTAAGCAGTCAATTACAACCTAACCCGTAGAACAAAACAGTTATTGTTCAATGAAAATAATCCTCTGTTTATTGGATTTGGACACTTCTGTACAAATCAAAACAGCATTGAAAAGGACCTTTTTTTGTGACTAAGGTTGCACTAGTTTTATTTCGTCAACACCTCCACCAAAAGCATTCCGACCAAGTGCAATCCCAATTTTCAAAGCAACAATTAAGCAAAGCCTTCTATTCATGATTTTCTACTTGGAGCACGTGAATATCTTTCCTTGCCCTATTCTCTGCAATGTAGAAAGTTAATGAATGATACTAAATGACATTTATGCCCTTTATCTCACAGGCGGGGTCTATGCTCTGACAGCAATTATGCAACAATCAATGATGACAAGCACATCGTCTCTGGAAGAGGACTGGCGGTAAAGTTTGAGGTATGTATGCTACTCTTTCTCATATGGCCATAAATGAGTATGACTCGGCTCGGCGAAGAAAATTGACGGAGAAGGCGTGAAGAAATGTGGTCTGCGACTTGTCTCTACGTATGAGTATGACTGGATGAGTGGAATAGATTGAATTAGGGAATTGAAAAGGATAATGGTCTAATGGACTGGGCAGTGGGATCTGGGCTATTAAGTTTTGGGCTTGAATTTATTGGATAGTTAGATAATATATTAATATATTAAAACTAGCATTGCACACACTACATGTGTGGGTGCCCAAGTGAAAAAGGTGGGCAAAGCATAAACACCTACATTTAAGTGTAAACAAACATATTGGATAAAGAGAAGTTTATACACATGTTTTGTCCTTAAGATCAAACTTTCTATTGCGTAAAGAGAAGTGTACCATATTTTTACAAGAGGGATAGTCTTTTTACAAGAGGGATAGTCTGTTGCATATAAGTAAAAAAGTTTCCTTGCTTATTGACATACAGAAGCATACCAAATACTCCCTCCGTCCACAAATAAACTTTACATTACGCGTTACGATGTTTGACTGAAGTTATTTTCAAATCATTTTATATGAAAAATGGTATAGAATTGAAAAATAAAAATTACATATTAAAAAACTATATCAAAAGATCTACAAAACTAGAGGTGACATGACTATATTATTTTATCAAATGGGTGACAAAAATAGGCCAACAAAGTGAATAAAGTTTGACCCTGTGAATAGTGAACGTAAAGTTTATTTGTGGACGGAGGGAGTATTTTATAAGAGGGGTGTTGAACTGCGTATAAGTCAAAATGATTCCTAGGTTATTGGGGCCATTGTCAAGGAATTTTCTTAAGTGCATCTATGTGTGTTTAGTAATATTATATTCCCCCCGTTCCAAAAAAATACTCATAGTTTCTATTCATAGGTCAAACTAACTTTACTTTATTCATACATTTTCATCGACTATTTGATAAATAAATTAACCTTGTCACCACTTGTTTTGTATGACTTTTGATGTAGTTTTTTAGTATATAATTTTTATTTTTTAATTCTATACCAATTTTTACTTATATTGATTTGAAATTAGCTTCAGTTAAACATCGTAAACCGAACGAGAGCCTTATCTTGGGACGAAGGGAGTATATCACGCAACAAAGGTATGTCTAGTCTAAGATAATGTCATGTAAATAAGGCTCATAAAGAAGTTCAATTAGATTATTTAGATCAAAGTATTAAAGCGCAAAGTGTAGCTAATTGTTATGTATATAAGATGTGTTAATACTATTGGTTCAGGTTGTGGGTTTGTACTTTCTACGAATACCTTTGGCTCTTGTAAGAGACATTTGTTGCATTTAATTTTCACTTCTGATATTAAGAGATGAGTTCAATAAGAAACAATTACTTGTAAAAAGTAACTGATTATATCTCAATACCATAACAAGATATTTAAATTTATTAAATCATATTTACAGAAATAAGAGGTTAATCAAACTTGATTAAGTGGCTTTTCCTTGGCACTTTTGTCAGTTTTGTCATATCTATTTATGTTCAAATGAAACTTTACAAATTTGTGATATGTGAGCTGTGCATCACACTTTTGAAATGAAACAAAATTTTAGAGATTTACTTTTGTTCTTGGCTAAAAAACATAATGTTCACCCTCAACCAGTTTTTGAAATAAAACAAGCATAATCATATGTAGCAAAAAAGAATAAAATTTAAAATCAAATCAACACCTTGTCACTAAAATGTGTGTAGTTTAAACTCAATTCATGTAGTTACAATTCAAATTAAACTGTACAAAATCCCAATAAGAACCTGGCAAAGGAACAGAGTAACAAAGCAAAGCTAATAATATTATGAAATCAAACAAAAGTGTACACATAACACTGAACACTAATTATATGGAGCAAAAAGAAATGCAATAAGAAATCAAATCATTAACTAAAAAGAGAAAATGAGAATTACACTTCGTGTGAAAAAGTAGATCAGCAAGGAACTTCTGAGGCTAAGTTCATGGCAAAAGAGGATAAGTGGATAGGATAGCAATAGTCACATAAAATGAAAAATGTTTGATACTAAGTTAGAAGATATACTTCCACTCCAACTCTAGAATACAATTTACCAGTAAAAAATTATTGGTTCAAAACAAGACATCTTTTTAAGACATAAAGCCTCTTTAGTTTGTTCTTAACTTATTATAATAATAGTGTGCTAGTAAGGAAAGACATCATGATTTTCCATGATTAGCTCTTATTTCAATGCTTTGGCAAAATGAATGGAGCACAAAATAATACAGTAAACACTCAAATCTATACTCTTATACAAAAGCAAAAGAAATCAGGTTTAAAAAAAGAAGAAAAAAATCTGTCAAGATGCTTTCCGGCCCATGCAATAACAACCATTGATTTGTCATTGGTGATTAATCGAGGGCTGATGATTTAGCATTCGAAATGCATCAGTTATTAATATCGTAATTAATTGGGAGTATGCAATTAATGTTGTGTCAGTATGTAATCAGTACCCCACTTCACACTTAATTTTTTTGTATAGGAATATAAAAGATGGCATTTTTGCCACTTCTTTAAATTAGAAATCGTTTTTTTTTTTACATTTTTAATATTCCGTAGAAGTTGACATTAGTGCTCTTTTATTAGAAATCAATATATTTATCTATATAGAAAGTAAAAGATTATAATTAAGGAAGAGAAAAAAAAGAGAGAAATGAAAAAAAGTTGTTTTCCCACCCAAGCATACGATGGAATCCTTAACGGCACAATAAATTAGCACATGTCCATTTTGCATGTCCGTTGATTTTTTTCTTTCAGTAAAAAGATCTACGGTTCTAATAACCGTATATTAAATGGGATTGTGGAACTGCTCGCTGTTCATTTTCCGGATCAATCTCTTGAAGTCCCATTTGTTGAAAACTGAAACGGCATATTCAAATTAAATGCTTTAGTATGCCAATTAAAAAAAAGTGAAATTTGCACTAAATAGGACTAAAACATAATGATTTTTCTAATGTAGAACTTAAACTTATTTATTCTCTAAATAAGACTTAATAATGACCTAGTGGGAGGAATAATGTCCAGTAATGATGGACATTTACTTGAATAATGACTACTTCATAATGACCAAAGGTCCTACATTGGGAAATAAAAACATATGGTCATATATTGCGAAAGTCATTATATTTTAGTCCTATTTAGGTAAATTTTTCTTAAAAAAACAGTCCCTAAACACCGTAAGGGATTATAGAGTGAAAATTCCTAGACAACAAAATGATTTACTCCACATAAGAAAATGCATTTAATTTGTTATATATAAACCACTCTCATTTTTTTGTCGAACATCATATAGCATCACAATAATGTTCTTAAAAAGTGACATTATTTTTGTTTGAAATAAGAAATATGGAGTAATTAACACTTAATGCATTTGTATGTCTCAGATTAATTTTTTTTGTTTTCCGAAATAAAAAAGAAAAACCTTTTTTTGGAAACTTCAAAAATGAGGAATAATATAAAAATAAATTAAAAAATCAAAACAATTATATTTTTACATCCCAATTCTAAGAACTTTTTTATACGCTATAAATTTTTTTGTATAATAATATTTTTGTATGTTTCAATTTTTTTCATTTCATTTTTCCATATTTTTTTCATTTCTTTTTTTGAACTTCCATTTTTTAATTCTAAAAAAATTAAAAATATTTAATTTGAGATAGATGGAGTATATGTTTGATTTTTCGTTTATTTATTTTTATTTCAAACAGAAACCATTTTGAATTTAAAAAAAAACTACTCCGGTGTATAAAACAATTAGAAACGAAATTTAAAAAGAATCTAAGAAAAGGAAACAAAGAGAGGAAAAAAAGAGTTACAAAAGGAAAAAACAAAAAAAGATAAATCTAAAATGAGAAAATAGTTTATCCCCCGTGTGGTTTCGAAAATGACAAATTCTATGGTGGACCTAAGGTTAACCATGAACCTACATATGAGCAAAATAAGCATTTTCTTACTACTTAAATAAATATTTATTTTTTTAATAAAAAATTTAAAAAAATATTATGTGAAAAGTTCTACAAAAATGCATGCACCCAGGTGCACCATAGAAGTACTCTTTGAAAATAGGGATCATTGATCCCTTTACGCTGGAAAATTCAAAAATAGAGAGGTACATTAATGATCCCTTTACGCTTCGAAAATCCAAATCATGAACTAAGATTAAAAGTTAGCCCATTAATGATGTTAACGAAAAATATTGACCAATATTTGGCAATGTTAATGAACTAAGATTAAGGGCCTGTTTGGGAATAGCGTTAGCGATTAGCGTTAGCGTTTTGAAAAGGCCATCTACGGGCAGCATTTAGCGTTAGCTTTTTCAAAGTAATCTGTACCGTTAAAATTTTATCTAAAACGCTACCGCTAATTTCTAACATTGTTTCCAAACAGGCCCTAAAAGTTGGCACATCATTAGTCACATGTCGTTTGGAAATGCATTTTATTTATTTGGTACACCTATAAGTCAAGAGGTTGTCCATTCCAAAATTGTCACTATATATTTGAATCTCTATTTATATAATTCACTAATTTTTGTTTTTACTTAAACATTTCATTCAAATGTTTTGTAATTTAAAAATCAAAACATCTTTCCACTAAAATGTGTATAGTTTAAACTCAATCCATGGAGTCACATTTCAAATCAAACCAAATGAAACTGTACATACAAATTCCCAACAACAAATAGGCAGAGGGAAGAGAGTAATAAAGCATAGCTAAAAATATTATGCATTAAAATCAATCAAGAGGGTACACATAACACTAATAAGTAATGATATGGAGAAAAAAATATAGCAAGAAATCAAACTATTATAAAAAAAAAGCAAAACATAATTGACTTAAAGGTGAAATTAACACCAATAAAAGAAAGTGTATGGTTTAATCTCACTGAAACCACTTAATGTCAGTCAGGTTTTTTGAAGCATAGATAAACATATTATTGATTCAATTCTCTTCCCTTACCCTTTTTGAAATCAAAGAAAAGTGTGAACTTAATCCATGGACTCATAATTCAAATAAAATGAAATGGAACTATAAGAATTCCCAACAAGGAATTAGCAGAGAGAAAAGAAGAAAAAAAGAAGAAATTAATTCTCTTAAAAATCAATTTGACACTAATTGAACAAGGTGTATGATTTTATTTCAATCTAAGCACATGCAATTGAAATGAAACAAGGTAGAATCTAGTTGAAGGAAGAGATGGAAAAAAGAAAATAAATCTTTACCTAGAGGCCGAAGGAGAAGCCCTAAAGTGCAAATTGGTAGGGGAAAAAATAAATAAGGGCATTGTGGTCATGGGGCGGTGAAGAAAATCAAGATCGTGGGGCGGTGATGGGAAGGAATGTCGGGAGAAGGAAACGGCAACAAAGGAGAGGGAGATGATGGAAGAGAGACGGTGATATAGCAGAGAGACATTATGGAGGAGACAGAAAAAGTACAAAAATTAACGGAGTAAACGTTATAGAGCCTTATAGTATTAGGGGGATATACCTATCCGGACTGGGTATTTCCGGGGTTAAACGGGACCAGACCGGAACCCAGAATTTCAAATTCGTGAAGACTGGAGACCAAACCTGAATCTTTCAGACAAGTCCATTTCGGTCCGGTTCCGGTCTTAATTCCAATCTGGACCTTTTAATGCACAACCCTAGCCCCTAGCCATAACATGATACTCTAGTTCTCTTAAATAACACCTCTTGTTGAATAATCAATTATTTGCTGAAAGTTTGAATGGTTTCACTTCACAGTGTGAACTGGTCCGAACCCAAATGCAGCAGGTGCCAGGTGCTCATCGGTGCCATGAATTGGCATAAAGTGACTGTTTGGCTTAGCTAAACCTCAAGCCTCCCTGGAAAAAAAACTGGTTTTTGCATAAAATCAAGTACATTTTTTCTGCCTTCGAGGGTAAGCCCAAAGAGGGTCCTAGATCTTGTTCTTGTCGTGCTTGGTCTCGGTGAAGAATTACTCTTTCAACGTGTGGTGTTTGTACCAGGTATATGATTGGAAAAAGTATGGACAAGAAACAAAGTATTTCGAAGATTACAACTGGAGCAGCCGTGAAGGGATGAAGGAAGTCAAACGGACAACAATGAATGATGCACTTACTAGCAGGGGGAGGAGGTATTGATTGTAAGGAATGAGTATTTAAAAAAATAGAAACTTCAACTATTGAACATAAATAACATTTCATTTACTAGGGAGTATATGGGGCAGAGTGTTGGGGATGCGGTTGGCTTCAGGGGTGTTGTGTGATCCGAAGATTTCGCCCAAGATGAAAGGTACGTTCTACCGGTCCGTAGTCAGACCAGCTATGTTATATGGGGCAGAGTGTTGGGCAGTTAAGATGACTCACCCTAAGAAGAATTGGAAGGAGGTGATTAAGTAGGATTTAGGACTTCTCACCCTGACTGAGAATATGGCTTTAGATAGGAACCTTTGGAGAACTAGGATTAGAGTAGCTGGTTAGGGGCCCGGTGCCTCAACGGTTATTTGTAGTGTGTTTTGTTTGGTTGGAATCCTTTGCTTTTGCTTGCAGGACTTTCAGTCAATTGTACTTGGTGTTTTATCTGTGTTTTATTGTGTCCCATCATATTTTTTGTGCAAGTTGGAGCGGGGGGTCTCTTAGAAACAGCCTCTCTACTTTCGAGTAGGGGCAAGGTCTGCGTACACACACCCTCCTCAGACCCTATTGTAGTGGGATTAAACTGGTTTGTTGTTGTTGTTGTTGTTGTTACTAGGGAGTATATTGGTTTAGTTTGTTTTTTCTTCCAGAAATGGATGTGGATCTTTTTAATATCATGGAAAGAGAGTTTTGAGGTTGGTTTCTAGGCCTATGAGTCTTTCCAAGGGGGAATATCGCAGTGAATGTGGATGTTTTAGGGGAACCATTTGTGCGAGACTTGCAGTTTTATGGATGCAGACTCATTAATGACTTTTGGGTGCTAGGGGAACCATTAATGCTCCATTCTTAACCCACCCCCGCCCTCGAAAAGATATTCTCCTTACATGTCTTGTCCAAATCAAACACGTAAAATGATGTCACTCAATGAAAAATGCTAGAGTATGCCAAGTGTACAGTGCAGCTTTCCTACCATACAATTCGGGATTTGGATTGGATAAGGAATGTATGGTGAAAAGAGCGGTGGTGGTGTACAAATGGTGTACACTTTTAGCGATCTCATGCTATAATTCCATTATACTTGACTAAGTGAAAAGTGAAGGAGTGGCCACCATGTTAAACAACAATGAACAAGAGAAATGAAAATATAACAATAAAACCATCCTCACCTTGTTGAATAACATGTACCACACTTTGACAATTTAAGATAGCATTCTCCTCCCATAGACTCCTTGCAATCAATCAAGTGTTTCCTTGGAACCATGGCTCCCATGAACAATCCTTCTATCACAATTACTAGAACCACACACTAAAGAAAAAAAGAGCACTAAAAACGACACAACGAGGAAACAAAGTTGCATCCACCAAATGCATGTGTGCAACGCACTTAGCCACAACCATATGCTCCATCTCCTCTCTCGACCCATCTATGGTGGTTGTTGTGGCAACGGTACATTCTGTTCCCACACCGCCACATTTCTTACTGTCTGAATTCTCCGCACACTCTCCATGCCATGAGCTCCATGTCACTCCCAATCAAGTATCGTCTTGTTTGGCAACACACTTCTTATTAATTAATGCTAATATTTTAGTTGATTTCTTAATTATACATATTAATTTTAGGGCCCGTTTGGGAATAGCGTTAGAGATTAGCGTTAGCGTTTTGGATAAAATTTTAACGGTGCAGATTACTTTGAAAACGCTAAACGCTGCCAGTAGATAGCCTTTTCAAAAAGCTAACGCTATCCCTAAACAGGTCCTTAAAAACGTTAATATCATAAATGAGCATTTTTGGACTGAAGTAGTAATAAAAGTTTGTCAAATCAGGTACTATATATGTGAACTTTTTTGGAGCAAATAATATACAAAAAGAATATCAAAAATTTAAATTCAGACAGTTAAAAACCTAAATTTAAATCCCAAAATTTAAAAATATTGTACTTCAACAACATCATTCTAACTCTTTCAAATGAGAGATCACATATTCGCATGTTGCAACTTTTCTTAGAGACCAATTACTTCATATCTTTGATAAATTAAATTATATGAACACATATTATATTGTAATAAAATTACTGTACTAGTTATTAAAAACTAAATAGGAGTCAAAAAAGGAAAAAATAATCCGATTTATCCATTGGGAATCCTACAAACGGGTGGGTTGACTCAAAGCAGTGATCCATGGGCACCCAATCCCGATCTTCCCAACAATGGCCACCATTTTCACTGCTTCTCATCTTTCCCTTTTCAACACTCAGCTCCCCACTCTCTTCATCTCTGCGCCGTTGGTTTCTCTTTCCCTCCACCGTCTCCGCTGAAACCCTTCTATTTTCACCGCCGTTCGAGTCCAGCAACAAACGGACAAAGGATCAGCTCCGCCGGCGCCGCAGAAGCATCAGTTTGACGACTATGCGGAGGATAAATCCTACGGCGAGGTTAACAGGATCATCAATAGCCGGGCAGCCGAAGGCGGAAGAGGGATGGAATACCTGATCGAGTGGAGAGACGAACACCCCCCGACCTGTATCCCTTCCGATCTCATCGCCAAGGACGTCGTCGCGGAGTACGAGATCCCCTGGTGGACGGGCGTCAAAAAGGCCGGCGAATCCTCCTTGCGGGAGCTCTTAAACGCCGGCGACGGCGGGAGGGACGCGGACGCCGTGGACGAGGACGGGCGCACGGCTCTACTCTTCGTCTCCGGGTTTGGATCCGAGGATTGCGTCAAATGCAAACATCTTTCTTTTTTTACTTCTTGATCAAGTTTTGAATGGTTTTACTAGAATCTTATTGTTGGGCTACTATTTCTCAATTTAAATTTGACTGAAAACATGAACTTCTTTTCCTTATATATATGCTCTGTAGTAAGCAAGAGCAACAAATAAAAGTGTCAAAAAATGTCCTCAAGGTCTCAAGTAACCCTCCCGTTGGTGATTTTAGTCTATTCGTTATTTTGTGTGATTGAGTTTATTTAGATTAGACAAGAATTTGAATAGACGTTGTCAAACAAGTTAGGAGGTGTAGAGTGCACACTTGTTCAACTGTATGGATATACGTTCAAAAATACCCTGAACTGCAAGCAAACTTTCGTAGAAATAGATATTTTCGCTTGAACACTCATGTCTGGTCATTGTTTTTCATCTATATAAATATTGATATGGGGGTATGGTTGAGGCATTGAATTTCGAAGTGCTCTTTCTTGATTCAATATCTTATTCGATTAAACAATTTCAGTATACTCTAAAATAACTTTAATTTGCAATTCGTTATACTCTATCATGTTGTTCATCTCGTTCTTCATTCACAAAACTAAAGTTAATGTTCATTTTATGTATCTTAGTGTAATGATATCATAAAATAATTGAGACTTTTTTAAAAAAGAAAGGTTTCTATTATCAGTTCATGAAAAATATAAAAACTTAGACTATATGTTATGAGACTTGATCCATGGGCGTGAAAGAGGCGTCCTGTCATGGCGTGACCCCCGCAACACCGCGGGCGTGAGGGAGGCGTGACAAGCTGGTCTTAATGGCGCTCACGAGCGTTGCCCCTCTTCTTATTTCTTTTTTTAATTTTTTCTATTTTAAACCAATCAAAATTTAATACATCTTCACAAATCATCTTTTCTCATCACACACGCCATAATACATTTTTTGCATTTTTACGCCCGTCAAGTTCGCCATAAGACATGTCATTAGATTATTCATATCACCTCTTCCTCGAAAAATTTATATCAACTTTTATAAGTGGTCTAAAAATGAATAAAAAAAGAGTAATGGACACATAAGGGGCAAGATCGAAGGGGAAGAAGATCAAGACACATCTCTGCTTCTACGACATACACGGAAGAATTCCGAGGTCGGAAGAATCTCCGCGTCAAGGTATGCTTAGGAGTTTGAAAAAGAAGTAAATTAATGGAAAATTTAAAAAATGAAAATGATAAATTTTTGGTCTCTACTCTTTAGGGATAAGATAGTGTTTTCAAGTGGCTCTCTATAGCCATGAGGCAGAGGTATGTTGAGCTGCTGATTTGTTTGCATATACAGTATAGGGAAATGTATTATTTGTCTCCCAAGAAAACTGGGGTTCTTTCCAGATAAGGAAACAAGAAATGAATTTAGAAACTTATTTATTGTGAGCATGTCAATACGTTATACTTAACCGCAGAATGCTCTAAACGAGTCACCATAGTATCTTTAATTGTTATGCTGTAGAATAAGTAGAAATGCTCTTTTTGCATAAGTGGTGAGAAAGTGAATAATAAGGGATTGATGAAAGTATGCGACTTTACGAAAGTTTTGATGCCTTGAAACAAATGTGTACAAAATACAGTCTTTCCTAGATCCCTTTTTTTGTACTGCCACAGCTAACCTTTACGTTGATCTTTGCAGTTGGTTCTGCTAGGTGATTCTGGTGTCGGAAAAAGTTGCATTGTTCTACGTTTTGTTCGTGGTCAATTTGATCCAACATCAAAGGTAAAGCTATCTCATGATGGATGCTAGTTAGAACCTTTCCATAGCTTCAGTGCTTCATTTGGAACAATAGATCTCGTAGCACCATTTTTATTGTTTTTGAATGTTTTTTACTATTTTATCTCTATTTGTTTCCCTTGGACAGTTACACTAATTGTTTATTTCGATATAAATTTTCAACTTCATTTTCTTTTCAACATATCTGAATGCATTTAATGTACGAATAAATTGATTAGATATACCCCCCCAAACACACACACACACACACACACACACCAGAATCCTTCAACCAAACAATGGATAAGTGCTTGTTAATTTCTTTCATCTTTTAAATTCCAAACGGTATCGAAGAAGCAGATTTCTAAACTGTATTGTTTTGATCGGTTTAGGTTACTGTTGGGGCTTCCTTTCTATCTCAGACAATAACGTAACCCTGCAAGATTTGACTACAGTTAAGTTTGAGATTTGGGATACTGCTGGTCAGGAAAGGTACCATTTAAACTCCATACAGATTTGTTTTGTCATCCATGCCTGCAATCAAGTAAAACAGCACGCTAATCAAAAACACTGACACACCTTATACACGCAAATGAATTAGCACGGAAGATAACATGGGATGCTTAACAGCAAAACAATGTAATGATATTAAATCTGTTGGGAAGTATAAAATTGATCCAAGTGCATTCTACATCACCATTATTTGTAGTGTGTACAAATCTAACTATATACATATCTAATCGAACTACATATAAGCTTTCACATATACTCGCTTCTTATCCAAATTTGACCACTCAGTTCACAGATTACCTTCACCATCTTGCATGTCTTCTGTATCGAATTGAAGCACAGGTTCAAAGATTGAGCATTCTGCTTCAACACCGCAGATCTTCTCCGTCCAATGAAAGCATGGGTGGGCATGAACTTTTTCTCGCTAAACCCCTGCCGCCCTTCTCCGTCCATGCGTGCGTTTCAGATCCCGATGTGGTCTCAGAACTTCTCAACTCCGACAGTGCCGCACACACTATTCCTAATTAATCTTAGTCTCTTTTCATTAGTTCATTGTTATCCAATTCTCCTCTGGTTCTTGTCAAAAGTGTAGCTAGCGACCATGGCACCAAAGGTTCAGAGCATATCTTTCTTGTTGAAATAAAGGTCTTCTGTCTTCAGTGAAATTAGGAATCTCTACCCCAAAAAATATATTACTCTCCCTCCCAAAACAATTAAATTAAAAAAATTAATTTTTTAAAAATTTTGTCTATATTATTTTATCAAATGAGTAATAAAAATATATAAAAAAAAGTTGATAAAGTTTGATCAGATGAATACTAAATGGAAATTTTATTATGGGACAGAAAGACTATAAGGTTTTACTTTGTACTAATTGTATGTTACAAGTATTCTATTCCCGAAGTTGTCGATTTGGATTAGTTATGTACGGCTTTCAGTTATGAGCTAGAACTAGACCTGGCAAAATGGTCGGTCAGGTCGGGTTCGGGTTCGGGTTATTTCGGCTTCGGATCACTTCGGGTTCAAGTCTAAGAGTGCTTGTTCATGACCCAGAGTTATCGGGTTCGGATTGACCCAACGGGTTAAGAGGCGTATTTAAAAATTAAAATTTTTGCTATTTAGAGATCATGTCATCCGAGCATTATTCAAAACAAAGAACGAAATCATAAAAGTTTGCAATTTTATTTGCAACATACCAAAAGAGAATTGCAATATATCCAAAAAAATCACCTTTTTGCAGCATACCAAAAAAATTGCATTAGATGAAAAAAATTGAAGACATGCGAGATGGTGAAGGTAATCTGTGAACTGAGTGGTCAAATTTGGATAAGAAGCGAGTATATGTGAAAGCTTATATATAGTTCGATTAGATATGTATATAGTTAGATTTGTACACACTACAAATAATGGTGATGTAGAATGCACTTGGATCAATTTTATACTTCCCAACAGATTTAATATCATTACTTTGTTTTGCTGTTAAGCATCCCATGTTATCTTCTGTGCTAATTCATTTGCGTGTATAAGGTGTGTCAGTGTTTTTGATTGGCGTGCTGTCTTGCTTGATTGCAGGCATGGATGACAAAACATAGGTAATCTGTATGGAGTTTAAATGGTACCTTTCCTGACCAGCATTATCCCAAATCTCAAACTTAACTGTAGTCAAATCTTGCAGGGCTATTGTATGAGATAGAAAGGAAGCCCCAACAATAACCTAAACCGATCAAAACAATACAATTTAGAAATCTGCTTCTTCGATACCGTTTTGAATTTAAAAGATGAAAGAAATTAACAAGCACTTATCCACACTACAAGAAAAAAAGCCTTTTAGCCGCATTTAATTCGCTGCACATGATCAAGTGTGGTAATACAATTCAACACTTTATCATTCCCTGCACTTAAAAAAGAAGCAAAAATCGATTTCATTTACCTGCACTAAAAAAGTGTGCCAAAATAATATAATTATACTTAATTATAAAATAAACATATATATATACTATCATTATTAGTCCTCTTTTATTCGATAACATAGAAACTAAATTTGTTTAATTAAAATTGTCTTTAAAAAATTTCAATGGACGAAATTTACTGAAAATAATTCCCCTTTAGCGCTCACTTTTTCATCCCAGCGCTTAAATTATTCATCCGCCTAAAAAAATCTAAGAAATCAAATGGTCTAATTATTCCAGCCGGCGCACACATCGTGCTTCACCCATCCGACGAAATCAAGATTAGGTATACATCAAGCAATCTGATCCCACGCTCGCACCCATCGTGCATCACCGATCTAAGGTACGCACATGTCATCGATCGAATTATTCCAGCCGGCTCACGCTCCTCTAAGAAATCTAGTAATCGAGTAAGCAATTCGATCCTTTTTGTTCGAGTGAATTCACTAATCGAGTGAATTCATTAATGAGGAAAGCCTTTTCGTTCAGCTCTCAGTCCTTCAGCGTGCGTCGTTATTCACAATCCATTGGGTAGATTCATTCTTTGGTCAACAGTTTCTTCTCAATTGTTTGGCGAGAATCATCGATCCTCTTCACAATCGTTCAGCCCCCTTCATTCATTCAGGTATGACACCGGCCCTTTCATTCTTTTAGTTCACATCTTATACATCCCTTCATTCTTAAAGTTGTTGTTCCTAAATTTATGCATTGGGGCATGATTCTATATCCAAAAAGCAGTTTTGAATGGTTTGACGGTATGAATTTTATTTTCTGAGTCTTTTGTGTGAAGTAATGTGTTAAATAGGTTGAATTGAAGAAATATAATGGTGATTTTTACTTTCTGATTTTTTAAATTTTACTTTCTGATATTGTTTTTTAACCCTAAGGTTACAGAGGAACACTCAAGCATTAGGCTATGTTCTAATTACTTCACCTTCAATTTTTTCTGGACAAAAATTGCTTCATGTTCTAATTACTTCACCTTCAATTTTTTCAAGTTTCTATTCCAATTTCAAATTTTTGTCCCTTTTCCTAGTACTACTCTCCCTCTTCATCTATGGTTTTTCTTTGATTTGTATTAAGGCCGCTTAACTACAAATTTCATTGTATTATGTAGTGAAAGTAAACTTTTCAAATTTTGGTTATGAAGTAGAAAAAGTCATGAAACATTATCCATTTTATCATGTTTGGAGATGGATTTGAGGCGTTTGTGACTTTGTATTTTATGTTATTGTTTATTTTTTTGGGAGTAATTCTCTCTTTTTTTGTATTAAAAAATTAAGATAAGGTACTACTTTTTGTAAAAATCAGGAATTGAAGCATTTAGATTTCATCATCACGATTATGGATTATGTATTCTGTATTTACCATGGGTAATTCATTTTAGATTTAGTTTTTCCAAATTGAACTAAGGGTTACGCCTCATTCCGCCCCGAGGCTTACGCCTCAAGGCATTTTTCTCAACTGCATTAAGGCCCATTTTTGCCTCTCAAAACCTTGCAGTTAATGTTGTATGTTATTTTCTTGAATGTTATATACAAAAAAGATTATTGAAGTTTTAAATTAGAAATTAATGCATGTTTATACTGATTTTTTAAAAGGATTACAAAAAGTAATCAATGCATATTTTGTACTGATTTTTAAAGGATCACATCCATGTTTTAAACTGATTTTTTTAAAGAATTATAATTTTTAAAAGGATTAAAAAAAGGATCATCAATGCATGTTTTGTACCTATTTTTATTCAAAAAGGATAATCAATGAAGCAGAAATCACTTAAATCATTTTAATTGCCACTTCCATTTTATTTTCTTGAATGTTGAAAGAGAAAGAACTCCTTGCACACCTTGAACAAAACTAAGAACCACAAATGGAGAACTTGCATACCCGTCATGAAGTTTGCCGTTAGTAATGTAAGTACATATTTATGGTTTGAACAAGAAACTTTTCAAACTCTAGACACTGACATTATTGGTTTAGTTTTTGTTTGTTAGGTTTTACATCTTTTTGAAATGGACAAAACTTGGATTGAGATGAACAGATTATCCAATGAATACTTTGGATTTTGATTATGTTGGATGTTTGTGATTTGAACTCTTGGATTGAGATGAACAGATTATCCAATGAATACCATGAACAGATCATGGTGCTTAAAGCTAACGTAAAGAAAAATAATTTTATTGTTACATGCCAATTGACCTCTGTTTGGTTTGAGTGGTGCGGGTTGTGGATGGGAGGGGATTTGTGGGAAGAAAACAAGTGAAAGAGCGGAAGAATTTTTTAAATTAATATTTCAGAGGAAGCTTCCCCCATAGCCTCCCTTTCCGAAAGTATTTTGGTAATTCCAAATGACGTATACTAGAGTCCCTCTCCCTCCCTCCATCATATGCATCCCATCCCATCCGTCAAATCAAATAGTGTTAATGCTTCATATGTTAATGGAAACAAATTTATTTCATTATATGGTAGATATTATAATTTCCATGTTAGTAGAATGGTGAAGAATTTAGTATGGGGTCGTGAGTGATTGATCAGAGTGCTGAAGTAATAACGACGTTATTATAAATGTTAGTAGCCATTAAATCACAAATTTTTGGTGTTTAGAATTAATGGCAGATCATGGTTCATTTTCTCTAATTTTAATTTATATGCAACTAGATTTACGAATTACTGTGGATGTGTCCTTCATTATCCTGTGCCTGCTTCCGGGGGAAGAATAGTTACTAAAGCAACTTTGTTTTACTTAGTTGTGAACTGTGGTTAGGCTTGTATTTTTTTTAAAGACAGAAGATATAATGTTTCTTTCTTGTTTGAACACGTAATTTCACCACTCTTTTAACAATGCCTTTTCCTTTTCATCGTTCATTTTTATTATTTTCTGTGCAATATTTGAGGGTGAGCATTCCTTTTCATCAATTGTTATTATTTTTTTCAATTGTGGTTCTAACCTTGATAATTGCAAGTTTTCGGTGTCATTTATCTTTTATAGGACAAGGTGGCCAAGTTTCGGGTAAAGGAACTCAAGGATGTTCTGACTAAACTTGCTCTGCCAATCCCGATCTTCCCAACAATGGCCACCATTTTCGCTGCTTCTCTTCTTTCCCTTTTCAACACTCAGCACCCCACTCTCTTCATCTCTGCGCCGCCGGTTTCTCTTTCCCTCCACCGTCTCCGCCGAAACCCTTCCATTTTCACCGCCGTTGGAGTCCAGCAACAGACGGGCAAAGGATCAGCTCCGCCGGCGCCGCAGCAGCATCAGTTCGACGACTATGCGGAGGATGAATCCTACGGCGAGGTCAACAGGATCATCGGTAGCCGGGCAGCCGAAGGCGGAAGAGGGATGGAATACCTGATCGAGTGGAGAGACGAACACCCCCCGACCTGGATCCCTTCCGATTTCATCGCCAAGGACGTCGTCGCGGAGTATGAGATCCCCTGGTGGACGGCCGTCAAAAAGGCCGACGAATCCTCCTTGCGGGAGCTCTTAAACACCGGCGATGGCGGGAGGGACGCGGACGCCGTGGACGAGGACGGGCGCACGGCTCTACTCTTTGTCTCCGGGCTTGGATCCGAGGATTGCGTCAAATTGCTCGCCGAAGCAGGGGCGGACGTGAATTACAGAGACCCACGCGGGGGCGGCTTGACGCCTCTGCACATGGCGGCAGGCTATGTCCGGCCAGGAACAGTGAAGATTCTGATCGAACTCGGGGCGGACCCCAAGGCCGCGGACGACAAGGGGCAGACCCCTCTGGATCTGGCGAGAACAATCCTGAAGAAGCTAACCCCAATGCAATTCGACCAAAGGCTAGGGTTGCAAAGGGTGATTGGGGTTCTGGAAGATGCAATGTTTGAATTCGCGGAGGTGGAGGAGATAATGGAGAAGAGGGGGAAGGGGGAGAAGGCAGAGTACCTGGTGAAGTGGAAGGACGGGGAGGCAAACGAGTGGGTGAAACGCGGGGCGGTAGCTGATGATCTGGTGGGTGATTTTGAGGCGGGGGTGGAGTACGCAGTGGCAGAGAGGGTTTTGGAGAAGAGAATGGGAGGCGATGGGAAGAAGAAGAAGAAGGTGGAGTATTTGGTGAAGTGGTCGGACATGGAAGAGGCAACTTGGGAGCCCGAAGAGAATGTCGATCCTGCATTGATTATCGAGTTCGAGAAGAAGGATCAGCAGTCGTGAACCCTCGTGAACCCTCATTGACAACCTATGTTGCACGGGTTGTTCCGATACTCGAATTCTTTGTAAAACTTTGGGAACAAATATGGTGTTTTCGTGTTGGCGACCCTGTCCCCGGCTCGGTGCAACTTGGATGGCAGGTGTAATAGGAACCAGGCTCTCTCCTAGCAGCCATTGCCATCAAACATGGATTGTTAGTGGTGATTTTTGGAGTAATACATATGTTGTGCTTGGTTGGTTTCTTCTCTAAACAAAGGTTTATGGTAGTTGACAGTGTCTGTATAAAAAAATGCAAACATCTTTCTTTTTTTTAACTTCTTGATCAAGTTTTGAATGGTTTTACTAGAATCTTATTGTTGGGCTACTATTTCTCAATTTAAATTTGACTGACAACATGAACTTCTTTTCCTTATATATATGCTTTGTAGTATGCACAAGCAACAAATAAAAGTGTCAAAAAATGTCCTCAAGGTCTCAAGTAACCCTCCCGTTGGTGATTTTAGTCTATCCGTTATTTTGTGTGATTGAGTTTATTTAGATTAGACAAGAATTTGAATAGACGTTGTCAAACGAGTTAGGAGGTGTACAGTGCACACTTGTTCAACTGTATGGATATACGTTCAAAAATACCCCGAACTGCAAGCAAACTTTCGTAGAAATAGATATTTTCGCTTGAACACTCATGTCTGGTCATTGTTTTTCATCTATATAAATATAGGAGTAAATTCTATAATTGGTCCTTTATAACAGGGGAGTTTTCCTATTTAGTCTTCTATTATCAAATATTACCCAAGTGGTCCTTCTTTTATGGGTACCTTTCCACAAATAGTCCTTTTTTTAATCTTCTATCATGTTGGTGTTAATTTGAGGGCTAAAAGTGTAATTTCACAATGATAATATATCTTTTTTGTCATACACAATTCCAAAGGCTGTTCTGTTTGCGTCGTTTGTGAATTACAGTCCCTTTTTACGACAACTATAGTCTACAAATGTGATCTTTCGTCAGAATCCTAGCCCACAATCATAGTCATTATTTTTGTGTTATCCGCTTAACCAATATCAGAACACGTCACTAGATATAATGTTGACGTCAAATTATACTTTTAGCCTTTAAATTAACACCAACACGGCAGAAGATCAAAAAAAGGACCATTTGTGGAAAGGTACCCTTAAAAAAAGGACTACGGGGGTAATATTTGATAATAGAGGACTAAATATGGAAACCCCCCTGTTATAAAGAACCAATTATGGAATTTACTCTAAATATAGATATGGGGGTATGGTTGAGGCATTGGATTTCGAAGTGCATTCAATATCTTATTCGATTAAACAATTTCGGTATACTCTAAAATAACTTTAATCTGCGATTCGTTATACTCTATCATGTTGTTCATCTCGTTCTTCATTCACAAAACTCTTTAACACTGTTTCACATCGTTCTTCCTCCATAAAAAAAATCCTACACGTTCATGTCTGCTACTCCATTCCTTTACACTCCTAAGGTCTTTTGCTCATACTAGTAATGAAATTGTGTTTGGTTGGGTAGTTGATGTAAGTTCATCGAGAGGCGAGAGCCCAAAACGAGGAGGGTCGTGCAATGACCGTTTTTGTATGCCTTTTGCTAATACTAGTGCCGAACTCGGGTCTTGTTAGACAGTAATCGTCTGGTCATTGAGAGCCCAGAACGAAGAGGGTCGTGCTGTGAACATTCTTGTTTAACCCTACAATTGTGGGTGATGCTACATAAAATTGCACACTTTAAGTTCTTTGTCACGTTCTTCTAGAAAAGGTTAGGAGACGTAAAAACTGTCAATTTTACGAATGAAATACTGTAAGTGTCTCAAATGATTTGTTCCAAAAAAAGAGGCCAAATTAAGGAAGTACGTATACTTTAAACCATGTCTCACTTAAACTATTTTTTACATAGTTGAAAGTTAGTAAAGTTACTATGTCTTAATTTAAAAATGACTATAAATCTTTTCCAATCATAATTTTTTTTACTCATTAATTTTTGAACTCTGTAAAAGTTAAACAAATTTTTTCCCCACATGGGGAGTATAAATTAAACCTTATTCTTTTTAATTTATTTTATAAACTTATTACTTGTACTTGTGAAAATCACACAAGTTATATCAGTAACAACTTTAAATTATATCAACGAGAAATTCTTACGTGATACTAAAGTTAATGTTCATTTTATGAATCTTAGTGTAATGATATCATAAAATAATTGAGACTTTTTTAAAAAAGAAAAGTTTCTATTATTAGTTCATGAAAAATATAAAAACTTAGACTATATGTTATGAGACTTGATCCATGGGCGTGAAAGATGCGTCCTGTCATGGCGTGACCCCCGCAACACCGCGGGCGTGAGGGAAGCTTGACAAGATGGTCTTAATGGCGCTCACGAGCGTTGCCCCTCTTCTTATTTCTTTTTTTAATTTTTTCTATTTTAAACCAATCAAAATTTAATACATGTTCACACATCATCACTTCTCATCACACACGCCATAATACATTTTTTACATTTTTACGCCCGTCAAGTTCGCCATAAGACATGTCATTAGATTATTCATATCACCTCTTCCTTGAAAAATTCATATCAACTTTTATAAGTGGACTAAAAATGAATAGAAAAAAGAGTAATGGACACGTAAGGGGCAAGATCGAAGGGGAAGAAGATCAAGACACATCTTTGCTTCTACGACATACACGGAAGAATTCCAAGGTCGGATAATCAGTATATGTATATCTTCATAGATAGAGATACACAGACATACGGAATATAGGGTAGTGAGATATGGGTTGCTCCTCTTCAGTTCCAGGTAATCCCCAAATTCGAACCCTAATCTTCGTGCCTGCTGTAAGATTTCTTCTTCAGCTTAATTGATTCTGTATTCTCATCAATTCCCTTCAATGGAGACCAATTTGACTTGATTCTCTGAGATAAAGCGGTTTTTCTTTGGTGGAATGGTGGCTATTGGTTGAATTCTTTGTTAGAGTGAATTAGTTTTTGTTTTGTTTTGTTTGTTTTTTTTAAAGTTTTTTTTTCGTTTGATGTTTTTACAGATAGGAGTTTGGGACAGAAGGGAGGTCTTAATCCTGACAATGGTGCTGCAATGACCCCAAGAATCTCCTCGTCAAGGTATGCTCACGAGTTTGAAAAAGAAGTAAATTAATGGGAAATTTAAAAAACAAAAATGATAAATCTTTGGTCTCTACTCTTTAGGGATAAGATAGTGTTTGCAAGTGGCTCTCTATAGCCATGAGGCAGAGGTATGTTGAGCTGCTGGTTTGTTTGCATATACAGTATAGGGAAATGTATTATTTGTCTCCCAAGAAAACTGGGGTTCTTGCCAGATAAGGAAACAAGAAAGGAATTTAGAAACTTATTTATTGTGAGCATGTCAATACGTTATACTTAACCGCAGAATGCTCTGAACGAGTCACCATAGTATCTTTAATTGTTATGCTGTAGAATAAGTAGAAATGCTCTTTGTGCATAAGTGGTGAGAAAGTGAATAATAAGGGATTGATGAAAGTATGCGACTTACGAAAGTTTTGATGCCTTGAAACAAATGTGTACAAAATACAGTCTTTCCTAGATCCCTTTTTATTGCAAAAAATTGCTGCTGGGTACCCCTTATTTTGGGATAAAGACTGGCAGGTCCCATTGTTTTTCAAAATATACTCTGAGGTACCTTAAGATATTCGAAAACTGACTCCGGGGTGACAATCTGTCATTCCCTCCGTTAATATTTCTTCTCCGTTATCCTCCTCCTCCTCCCCCAAAAAATTGCTGCCAGGTACCCCTTATTTTGGGATAAAGACTGGCAGGTCCCATTTTTTAAAAAAACTTACTCATAGGGATTTAAAATATCCTTTGTTCAAAATATTACTTTATCGAATTAATATACAATATATGTTTTATTTAATAATAGGTCAAAAATTAAAAATAGTTGATTGAAAAAAAGTCAAAACGTGACATATGCTCCGAGACAGAGATAATATTATGTACTCCCTCCGTCCTAATTCTTTCTTCCCAGTTTGACTTTTCCCCATTTTTAATTTTTGGCTTTGACTTCAAATTTTACCCTCCTTAAAAAAAAATTTTGAATTTTTTTTGCAATCATTCAAAATATAGAGCTAGAAGATAATTGGTGTAAATACATGAGGGTATTAATGTCATTTGCCATCTTTTTTTTCTAATGGGAAGGTAGTTTTAGGACGGAGAAAAAGGGGAAGTGGGAAGATAGTTTTAGGACAGAGGGAGTATTTCCTATTATTTCCTTAATTATTATTAGAAATTAATTGCAGAGTAGTAATTTTATTACTCTATTTTTAAGAAATACGGAGTAACAATCATTATTATTTAGAAAAATAGTACTCCGCATTAGTCAATTTGATAGTCGCCATTGGTAATGGTGTCTTGGTAAATTGAGAAAACAAGAGGACATGAGAAAAGGATAAGATGAAACAATAAAAATAGTGTTAATTTTAATATGTCTTGTAAAGATAATATGAAACAAAAAAAATAGTGTTAAATTTAATATTATTATGAATTACGACGTAAAATTTATAACCAAGTGAATAAATAATTTTAATTTTATAAATGATACGTAAATATATTACTAAAATTAATTTTCAATGAAAGATTTAGAGTAGTAAAACTAATAAAAAAGTTAATACCCTCATGTATTTACACCAATTATCTTCTAGCTCTATATTTTGAATGATTGCAAGAAAAATTTCAAAAAATCTTTTTTAAGGAGGGTAAAATTTGAAGTCAAAGCCAAAAATTAAAAATGGGGAAAAGTCAAACTGGGAAGAAAGAATTAGGACGGAGGGAGTACATAATATTATCTCTGTCTCGGAGCATATGTCACGTTTTGACTTTTTTCAATCACCTATTTTTAATTTTTGACCTATTATTAAATAAAACATATATTGTATATTTATTCAATAAAGTAATATTTTGAACAAAGGATATTTTAAATCCCTATGAGTAAGTTTTTTAAAAAAATGGGACCTGCCAGTCTTTATCCTAAAATAAGGGGTACTTGGCAGCAATTTTTTGGGGGAGGAGGAGGAAGAGGATAACGGAGAAGAAACATTAACGGAGGGAATGACGGATTGTCACCCTTGAGTCAGTTTTCAAATATCTTAAGGTACCTCAGAGTATATTTTGAACAATGGGACCTGCCAGTCTTTATCTCAAAATAAGGGGTACCCAGCAGCAATTTTTTGCTTTTTATTGTACTGCCAGAGCTAACCTTCACGTTGATCTTTGCAGTTGGTTCTGCTAGGTGATTCTGGTGTCGGAAAAAGTTGCATTGTTCTACGTTTTCTTCGTAGTCAATTTGATCCAACATCAAAGGTAAAGCTATCTCATGATGGATGCTAGTTAGAACCTTTCCATAGCTTCAGTGCTTCATTTGGAACAATAGATCTCGTAGCACCATTTTTATTGTTTTTGAATGTTTTTTTACTGTTTTATCTCTATTTGTTTCCCTCGAACAGTTACACTAATTGTTTATTTTGATATGAATTTTCAACTTCATTTTCTTTCTAACATATCTGAATGCATTTAATGTAAGAATAAATTGATTAGATATACCCCCCCCCAAACAAACACACACACACACACACACCAGAATCCTTCAACCAAACAATGGATAAGTGCTTGTTAATTTCTTTCATCCAAACGGTATCGAAGAAGCAGATTTCTAAACTGTATTGTTTTGATCGGTTTAGGTTACCGTTGGGGCTTCCTTTCTATCTCAGACAATAGCCCTGCAAGATTTGACTACAGTTAAGTTTGAGATTTGGGATACTGCTGGTCAGGAAGGGTACCATTTAAACTCCATACAGATTACCTGTGTTTTGTCATCCATGCCTGCAATCAAGCAAGACAGCACGCCAATCAAAAACATTGACACACCCACACACCTTATACACGCAAATGAATTAGCACGGAAGATAACATGGGATGCTTAACAGCAAAACAAAGTAATGATATTAAATCTGTTGGGAAGTATAAAATTGATCCAAGTGCATTCTACATCACCATTATTTGTAGTGTGTACAAATCTAACTATATACATATCTAATCGAACTACATATAAGCTTTCACATATACTCGCTTCTTATCCAAATTTGACCACTCAGTTCACAGATTACCTTCACCATCTCGCATGTCTTCTGTATTGAATTGAAGCACAGGTTGAAAGATTGAGCATTCTGGTTCAACACCGCAGATCTTCTCCGTCCAATGAAAGCATGGGTGGGCATGAGCTTTTTCTCGCTGAACCCCTGCCGCCCTTCTCCGTCCATGCGTGCGTTTCAGATCCCGACGTGGTCTCAGAACTTCTCCACTCCGACACTGCCGCACACACTATTCCTAATTAATCTTAGCCTCTTTTCATTAGTTCATTGTTATCCAATTCTCCTCTGGTTCTTGTCAAAAGTGTAGCTAGCGACCATGGCACCAAAGGTTCAGAGCCTATCTTTCTTGTTGAAATAAAGGTCTTCTGTCTTCAGCGGAATTAGGAATCCCTACCACAAAAATTATATTACTCTCCCTCCCAAAACAATTAAATAAAAAAAAATTAATTTTTTAAAAATTTTGTCTATATTATTTTATCAAATGAGTAATTAAAATATATAAAAAAAGTTGATAAAGTTTGATCAGATGAATACTAAATGGGAATTTTATTATGGGACAGAAAGACTATAAGGTTTTACTTTGTACTAATTGTATGTTACAAGTATTCTATTCCCAAAGTTGTCGATTTGGATTAGTTATGTACACGCTTTCAGTTATGAGCTAGAACTAGACCTGGCAAAATGGTCGGTCAGGTCGGGTTCGGGTTCGGGTTATTTTGGCTTCGGATTACTTCGGGTTCAAGTCTAAGAGTGCTTGTTCATGACCCAGAGTTATCGGGTTCGGGTTGACCAACGGGTTAAGATGCGTATTTAGAAATTAAAATTTTTGCTATTTAGAGATCATGTGATCCGAGCATTATTCAAAACAAAGAACGAAATCATAAAAGTTTGCAATTCTATTTGCAACATACCAAAAGAGAATTGCAATATATCCAAAAAAATCACCTTTTTGCAGCATACCAAAAAAATTGCATTAGATGAAAAAAATTGAAGACATGCGAGATGGTGAAGGTAGTCTATGAACTGAGTGGTCAAATTTGGATATGAAACGAGTATATGTGAAAGCTTATATGTAGTTCGATTAGATATGTATATAGTTAGATTTGTACACACTACAAATAATGGTGATGTAGAATGCACTTGGATCAATTTTATACTTCCCAACAGATTTAATATCATTACTTTGTTTTGTTGTTAAGCATCCCATGTTATCTTCCATGCTAATTCATTTGCGTGTATAAAGTGTGTCAGTGTTTTTGATTGGCGTGCTCTCTTGCTTGATTGCAGGCATGGATGACAAAACACATGTAATCTGTATGGAGGTTTGCAAGTTTCCAAGTTGCTAAAACTTGAATAACCTCATCACTTGTCCCATTGCCCTACACATTTCTTTGCCTGCACACAGGCGATCATACCGGGAATGTTATGGAGTTCTAGACGCCTCTTCAAGCTTTCAACAAAATCCCAGTTTCTTACCTCAATTCATATTATTTCTCCAGGATATGATATTCTGTTTGATACTCTTCACAATCATTTCTCCTCTGTTCCAGGGACTTCCAGAATTATCCTCACCCCACAAGTTGTACAATCCACTCTATTGAATTGCAATTTTGATCTAATTTCTCTTTGTTTCTTCATTTGGTGTGCTAAGCAACCCAATTACTTTCACAGCAGAGGAGCTTTTGCACACATGGTTAATGTAGTCTCTCGGCTCACTCAGCGGTTAGGGACATTGAAAGGAGTTCTTGATGAATTGGTGAGTGTGGGTTCTGTGATAAAGCCACAGGTTTTATTGCTCTTGTTGAGAATTTACTGGCTCGGAGGAATGCACGATTTGGTTATTGAGGCTTTTGGGGAGATTCTCAGGTATGGCTACACACCAAATACTTTTGCTAGGAACATATTAATTGATGTGTTATTCAAGATCGGGTGTGGGAGTGTAGCACTTCAAGTTTTGAAGGAGACGTTGTACCCAAATTTCTTAACCTTCAGCATTGTTGTGTGTAATCTATGCACACTCAAAGATTTGGTTAATCTCCAATCTGTACTTAGGAGCATGTTGAGGAAAGGATATTATCTTAACCCAGAGACATTTTCATCCGTATTGAGCTGTTATTGCAAGTCAGGTCAATTATCAAAGGCTACACAATTATTAAGCCTTATGATTGTCTTGGGAGTTCCTTCCTCTGTCACTGTTTGGAGCATTTTGATTGATGGATATTCTAAATCCGGCAATCTTGATTTTGCCGGTCAATTGCTTGCTAAGATGGTCTCTAGTGGACATAAGCCTACTGTGGTAACATGCACA